TGGATGAATCTCCAAGAGTTATGCTGAATGAAAAATGCCATTCTGGAAAGCTTACATACTGTATGACTCCATTTATATATACATATCATGAAGAAAGGATGAGTGAGTGTTGGGTTGGGGATAAGGAGGGGAGGAGGGCAGGATGGGAGTGGGTGTGGCTATGCACAAGGGATCCTTGTGGTGATGGAAACATGATGGAATGTTCTGTATCTTGATTATATCAATGTCAATGTTCTGGTTGTGACAATCCACCCACTGCCACTGAGTCGATTCTGACTCAGAGCAACCCCCATTGAGTTTCCAAGACTGTATATCTTTCCTGGAAGTAGATTGCCTCATCTTCCTCCCACAGAGCAGCTGGTGACTTTGAACTGGCAACCTTCTGGTTAGCAGCCAAATGCCTTCGAGTACTATCATTTTGCAAGGTGTTACCACTGGGAGAAACTGTGTAAAGGGTATATGGGATCTCACTGCATTCTTTCTTTCTTTCTTTTTGCATCTGAATTCCTTTTTATTCACTGTATTATTTCTTACAATTGCATGTGAGTCTATAACTACCTCAACATACAAAGTTTAAATTAAAAGAAAAAAGTTGCTCTGGTGGCATAGTGGATAAGACATTTGGCTGCTAACCAGAAGGTTAGCAGTTCAAGCCCACCAGCCGTTCCACAGAAGCAAGATGGGGCGAATCTACTTTTGTAAAAATTAACAGCCTCAGAAACCCAATGGGGTCACTGAGTCGGAAATGACTCAATGGCAATGAGTTTGTTCGTTTACAGGAAAAGCACTGAAGTCTTAAATGTTCAACATAAATGCCAAAGCAACAGGCAGCTAAATGAACACTAGAGTAAATGCCTTTACCTTCTCTCTTTGCCTGATAAAACTGTACATATCCTTCAAGGTTCAACTCCAATGGGATGTCTTCCCCAACTTGCAGGCATTCTCAACCACTCCGTTTCGTGCAATACCATAGTGCTGTCACAGTGCTGACACCACGTTGCAGAACAACAGTTCTCAAACTTTAGTGAGCATCAGAATCATCTGGAGAAGCTCATGAAAACACAGAGTTTGGACTCTGCCAGAATTTAGAGGAAGGGATTCTGATTCTGGAGTGAAGCCCATGAATCCTTTCTGGTAGCCTTCCGGATGATGCTGATGTTGCTGGTGCATGGACTGTTGGCCCTATCACAATTCACTGTATCTGACAGCTCAACAAGGCATCTCACTCAGCACATGGTCAAGCACCGAGTAAGTGTCTTACTCTTTTTTGCTTCTTTTAACCAAGTAAAGGTCTTACCCTCTTTTGCTTCTTTCTGTCTGCCTCTTTCTGTAAGTCTTGAAGGGCCCTTTGCACGAGCTTCATGTCCAAGTCCTGCTCTTCTCTGTATTCCTGCTGCATGTGCTCTATCTTCTCCTGGACGGCTTTTTGCAAAAAGGTCCTAATTTCCTGCTTTGTCTTCTGTTTCTTCAGCTTCTCCTGTTCATTCTCAAGTTTAACCTGTGCATTATCACTTTCCTAAGGTAGAACAATAATGAAGGTCATGCCTCAGTACAGGTTGATGAAACAAGTAGGTTCATGCATTGACAAGATGAGAATGAAGAAACACACATACACACACACACACACACACACACACACACCCCACTTGGATTTAGAGGGGCTCTTAAAACAGATTGATAAAACTTGCCTTTTCATTGCTAAGTCACCACTAAGGCTTTGTGAAAATTGCTCTCTTGCTTTTGTGAGTGTATGACTGTAAAGCAAGAAGTACATGTGGGGTTCAGAAAAGGCAGGAAAGTATCAAGAGAGATCACCTTTAACCCCAGCCCCCATCATCCACCACCACTGTCAACATTTTGGGCTCCTAGCCTCCCCGACTGTATTCTTCTATGCACATCTAGTTGGATACATTATTAAGCAGCACTAAGAGTTTAGAAATGGAAATGTGCACTTGAGCTAAATATGCAAAATTAAATGTGAAGTATTTTTTGTTGAAAAATATTTCACCACCCCTTCTGTTTTCTTATCTTTCTGAACCTCCTGGCTGACTTAATTCTTTGGCCAACAAGGCACTTTTAACTGGGACACCAACACTCTTGGGCATTGTGCGTTTGGCAGAAAATCTGGGTATGGTGTGAAGGCAGGCATTAGACCTCCTACCAGAGGCAGCTGAGTGCCTTGGGAGCAAAGTACTTGCACAGCAGCTGGTACAGATGACTTGATGGTAATGAACTTCCCAATATGACTTGATTTAACTGGGACTCAGAATAGCCATGATTACCATGATTACTGGTTTGTGAGAAGGAAGTTGCTAGATGTTGCCACTGATGCCAGCGCAGGAAACCCTCCCTGAGCTGTGAGGATCAAATGAGATCATGTGTGACAGTGCTCTGCAGTGTCTGAGGAAAAGCAAGGGGCATCAGACGTGACAGCATTGCAACAGCAGGCTGCATTCTCTTGAAAGGGAGGCTGACTACACCAGAAGGAAGCAATAGGCTAAATCCAGAATGTGAAACTGGAGGGAATGGGATGGAAGGAACTGTTCAAGATTTAAGAGAGACCTCAAAGTAGGTGAAGGAGCTCTGGTGGCACACTGTTCACCAAAAAGTTGGCAGTTTGAACCTACCAGCCACTCTCCGGGAGAAAGATGAAGCAGTCTGCTTCTGAAAAGATTTATAGCCTTGGAAACTCTATGGAGCAGTTTTACTGTGTCCTATAGGGTCATTAGGAGCCAGATTGGACTCGATGGCTTGGGGGTTTGCTTTTGGTAAAAGCAGTTGACCATATGTCTTGGTGTGGCCCCAACACTTCTGATTTTACACCTATTATGAGTTGGAATCAACTTGACCACAATGGGGTTTGGTTTAGTATTGACATCATGAATTAAATATACCCTTTAAATCTCAAATGTGTCCTGGTGTGAATGATAAGTTAGGCAGCTACTATTCCTAAAAGAAAGGAACTCCGGTAGCACTGTGGTTAAAGCACTGTGCTGCTAACTAAAAGGTTGACAGTTCAAACCCACCAGCCACTCTGAGGGAGAAAGATGAGACAGTCTGCTTCTGTAAAGATTACAGCCTTGGAAACCCTATGGGGACAGTTCTACTCTGTCCTATAAGGGTTTCTAGGAGTTGGAAACAACTTAATGGCAATGGGTTTGGTTTTTTTGGTTTATTCCAACAAAGGAGCCCTAGTGGTGCCACGGTTAAGCACTTGGCTGATAACCCAAATGGTGGTGGTGGGAACACACCCATTGACTCTGCAGAAGAAAGAACTGGCCATCTGCTCCTGTAAAGATTATAGCCTAGCTGGTGGCGTAGTGCCTAAGGCACTTGACTGCTAACCAGAAGGCCGGTGGTTCAAACCCACCAGTCACTCCAAGGAAGGAAGTTTGGGCAATCTACTTCCCTAGTGATACCACCTCAGAATCCCAAGGAGGGGTTGCTATGATCAGATCTGACATGACAGCAGTGAGTTTGGTTTGGTTTTGGGGGGCAGTGAGTCGGTGTTAATGGGGAGGAAGAACTCAGAAAAGGAGGGTGAGAATGGTGGAACAACTCAAAGAGTGTGATCAGTGTCACTGAACGGCACATGTAGAAACTGCTGAATTGGTGTGTATTCTCAACAACAAAACTAAATTAAATATTAAACATATGTGTACATATTACAGCCTAGCAAACCCTAGGAAGCAGTTCTACTCCAATGCCGAGTCAAAAATAGACTGGATGGTATGTACCTACAACTCCTTCCTAAAAGAGACTTGTAAGACATAATTGTAAGGTTGCGGCAAAGGGATCGTGGTGGAAAGGAAGAAATGATTCAAAAGCAGAAGTTGGGAAAGCTTTATTGTGCGCTCCTGGGAGAGGTTCACGGGTCTCTTAAAGGGACCAGAGAAGTCACGCCGCCTGGGTGAAAGAAGGGGATTTTATAGTGATATTTTCTCCACTCCTTAGCGGACCGGGTTGAGGACAGGGGATGTGTTGCAGGAACCAATGAGGACAAAGCACTTCATTAACATAGTGGACAAGAAATGGTTGAGGGCTTTTGTAAGCAAGGGTCATGTGCTGGGGTTTTATCACAAGTGGCATCTGCTCTAGGAACCAAGGGTTATGTGCATCCAGGTGTGGTATAGGCTGTGGTCAGATGCTTGCCTGCATGGCCAGTTTTTCATAATTCTTTCTTGCTCAATCTTGGTTGACTGGTTTTTAATGGCCAGTCTTGTAATTTCTTCTTGCTTAATCATTTACCCACCTGGCCTGCCATGTTCCCACCTGACATTCCAGCCTTTTTGGTAATAAAGGGCAAAGTTATCGTTCTGGCTGCTTCCTGCTGAACAGGGTCGGAGTGGGGTTATAGGCTAGTGCCAGTGGGAATTGGGTCAGTTGGCAGGCGAGTGTACGGGTGTAGGAGTAATTGGTTAACAGTGACTCTGGACATTTATCTAAGTCTGTTTTGGGGGAATCTGAGGAAGCAAGGGGCAAAAAGAAATAAGAGACTTATTAGTGCAAGAGGTCCTATAAGGGGTAATAACCAGGCTGTTAATGGTGATTGTAGCCATTCAAATGGTGAGATTCCTGTTTGGTGTTTATTATGTAATTCTTCACTCAGTCCAATCAATGTATTGACGTTTTGTTCCACCAGACCAGATTCACTGATGTAGTAATGGCATTCTTCTCTAAGGAGGAGGGAGGTTCCACCTTTTTCTGCTGCTAAGAGGTCTAGGGCTCTTTGATTCCGTCATGATGTTCAAGAGCCCTTTTAATGCAGGAGAGGTGATGTCACGAGGGATCACCTAGGAGTTTTACTGCAGTGGGGGTGGTTAAGATGATTGTATGTGGTCCTGTCCAGTGAGGTTTCAGTGGTTTCAGATGTAAGGTTTTCAGGAATAATGCATCTCCCGGTTGCAGGTGGGTTGCTGTTGTCATTTTTGAGGGATCTGTCTCCAGTGGTTGAGGTAAGTACCTGTCTGCATGTTCCCATAAGAGTTGCCTAAGGAGAGAGAGATAAGGAAGATAGGAAGCCAATGGAGGGGGTTGTGTAGGTAGATTGTGGTTGAGGAGAAAGGGTCAACCATACATGAGTTCAAAAGGACTGAAAAAAGTAGGTGCTTGGGGAGTTGCTCTTATGCATGTCAGAGCAAACAGAAGAAGGTCTATCCAAGACTTATGAAGTTCTAAAGAGAGTTTGGTAAAGTGGGTTTTAATAAGACCATTAGCCCTTTCAATCTTGCCTGATGATTGAGGTCTGTAGGGAATATGGAGGTCCCATTGAATCCCTAGAGATGAGAAGACTAGTTGGGTAATTTTTGAAATAAAAGCTGGCCCGTTGTCTGACTCTATAGAGGACAGTAGTCCAAAGCGAGGGATAATGTGAGTAACTAAGATATTAGTTGCCATGGCTGCAGTTTCACTTTTTGTGGGGAAGGCTTCAACCCACCCTGTCAGGGTGTCTATTAGAGTAAAAAGGTACTTAAATGATTTATGGGATGGCATATGAGTGAAGTCAACTTGCCAATCTTGGCTGGGTAGGTGCCCTCTCATCTGGTAGGTAGGAAATGTTGGTTTAAGGTTCCCCTGGCGATTCGTAGACATGCAAACAGTGCAGGTAGAACAGACAGACTCAATAGTGGCATTGAGAGTAGGTGATATAAAAAGTGGTTGTAGAAAGTGTTTTAGCGCTCTGGCACCTATATGAAGGGAATTATGTATGAGTTTGATGAGGTCTTTGGCCTGTGCTTTCAGAAGAACTAGTTTGTTATGTAAGAAGATCCATCCTTCAGGGGAAATTGAGCCCCCTTTTGGTGTCCAGGTTGTTTGTTCCTCTTTAGAATAGTGGGGTTGAAAGGTTGGTATGGAAAGAAATAAAACAGGAGTAGGGGAGGTTTGGTTTTCCTGAGTCAAGTTACGTGCTACTGCATTGGCCCTGTTGTTACCCCTAGTAATGGAATAATTTTCCATTTGATGACCTTTTCAGTGTATAATGGCAACTTGGGAAGGGAGTTGAAGGTCCTCTAAGAGGTGGAGAATAAGTTTGGCATTAATGATAGGGGTTCCTTTGGTTGATAAGAACCCTCGCTCTTCCCAAATGGCTGTGTAACAATGTGCTATGAGGAAAGCGCATTTAGAGTCCATGTAAATCTCGATGGTTTTTTTTTTTTTTTTGCTAAATGTAAGGCTCGAGTGAGAACGATGAGTTTGGCCTTTTGGGAAGTGGTACGTTCCGGGAGGCTCATTGCGTCCACTGTTTTGGTGAGGGTGACGACTGCATATGCTGTGCGTTGTTGTCCCTGAGCATCTAGTACAGAGCTACCCTCGACAAAGAAGGTGAGATCAGCTTGTGGCAGGGGTTGATCTGAGAGATGCTGCTTGGGGGTAGCTTGGGTGTCAATGATGTCAACGCATGAATGTGTATTGTGAGTAGAAGAATCAGGTAAGGGTAATAAGGAGACTTGTTGGGTAATTTTTAAAATAAAAGCTGGCCCATTGTCTGACTGTATAGAGGATGGTAGTCCAAAG